GAGGAGGAAGAGGAGGAGGAGGAGAGAAGCAACAATCAGTAGGTATCTGTCCTTCCTCCCGCATGCTTGGGCTGCTTGCTCTAAGGACTACAATATGTGATAGACTACAATTTCTGATTCATGGTCAAGGAAAGACTTTCTTAGAAGTGTTAGACTGAAAAAATAAACATTTGATCTTCAAACAAGGTTTCCATGGTGTTTTGTGTTAGTTTTTTGTTTTTTGAGACAGAGCCTTGCTTTTGTAGTTCAGCCTGGACCTGAACTCACGAGGTAGCTCAGGCTGGCCTCGGACTTGCAGCAGTCCTCCTGGCTCAGCCTCCAGAGAGCTGTTACAGGTGCGTGCCACTGTGCCTGGCTCTATGGCTCAAATGAAACGGAAGAAGGTGTGCTGGTGAGCTTTGTCTCCGTGCTCTGACATGGCACCCACAAAGACAGCAGATAAGAATGAAATTTGGGACCCTCCACTGGTGGCGGGCTTAGTCCTGAGCAGTCCGCCAGGGGAACCCCAACCCGCCAGCCCCAGCGGGCCGGTGGGGCCCCTGGCTGTCTGAAGCCGGGTCCTGCGGCACCTCGGACGCAGCCTGATTACTTGAAGGCCAGTCTGACTCTGGGATGAACAGCCCATGGAGGTCCAGGTGCATGTCCACGGCAACCGAGGCGCGAGCCAGCTCCGTGAAGCTCTTGGCATCCAGAATCAGGAGGAAAGGCAGCTTTTGGGGGTCAGTGGAGACAATGGCTGATAAGATAACTCCTTTGGGAGGAAAAGAAACACTTGCTAGGGTGGAACCTAGAACCCTGCACCTGCCAGGCAAGTGCTCTACCAAGTGCACTCTGGCCCTATAAAGAGAGACAGCTGGTAAGAGCACAGCCTGAAACATCCTCTGCTGGAGGGACACCTCCCTCACCCTCTGCAGGGGAGCGGACACCTCTTGCACACACAGCGCGAGTGGGCTTGTGCGCTGTCTCCCTCTCTGAGTGCCCCCCTGGTAAAACAAAGGCAACAGAGCTCCCTGCCAGTGAGTGCAGGGGAAGCGTGTGCCCAGCCAAATGGGGGAGCAGCTTCCACAGGAATCTGTGCCAGCCACCCCCCACCATGGAGGTCACAGTGACAGGGTCCCCATCCCTGTGTGCCAGGCCATGTGCAGCGGGAAGACAAGGCCAGTTGGGAAACCTCTCCCTCTACAGCGGCGGCAGGCAGCCCAGCCCTGCCTGCAGATGTGTGCCACCGTCATGGCTCAGCCAGGTAAGGCCCCACACATGGTTCTTGTCACCCTCCTTAGCATCCCCAGGGCAAAGGCAGCGTCAGGGTGACAAGGGGCAGTGTGGCCATGGTGCTGGGCCACAGACACACTGCATTCCAGCGGCCCCACAGGAGCCACTTGGATCCCTGGATCCAGCACTGTGGGGAAACTTAAAGCCAACATGCCACATCCATGAGGAATTTGGTGTCACTTGGGAGGGGATGTGAGCCTCAGTAACAAGCTGGACACCGAGGATCTGAGGAGTTCCTGAGGCCCATAGCCCTCGGGAGCCGGCGACCCTCTCCCTGTCAGATGGTCATGCTGTCTGACTCCCCAAGAAGAGGACAGCAGGTATCCTCTGGCTCCAAAGCAGCCTCCTGCTGCCGTGCATGCCCAGACAGTTCCTCCCGAGGGGCGGCAAGCAAGACTCGCCTCCTTGGGGTCTTACCATCATCCTCCTCCTGGGCGTCTGGTGCGGGCACGAACAGGGGCTCCGCCGGCCAGCAGCCCGCCTCTCGCCACGTTAAGGACGACTTGGTGAGGACGTCGTATTTCAGAATCTGCGGAATGAGGGGCCTGCTTGGTACAGCTCCCTGGGAGCAGGAAGCACGAGGCCCTCCCACGGCAGGCTTCGTGCTCACATCTAGACTTCTGACATTTTGGAACTTTCCTCTTCCCTCTTTAGACCACTAGAGCTCTGGCCATCCTGCAGCTGACAGAATACCATGAAGTCCAGAAAAACCCTGAATTTGTTTGTTATTTAGCACTACAGTGAGACTGTGTTTGTTGTTTTGTTTTTAATGTATTTAGTATAGGATCTACAGGGTCTATAGGGTCTCAGCACACCAATCAGACTCACAGTGATTTTCTTGTTTTCAGCCTCCCAAGAGCTGGGATTACAGGCATTCGCCACCTTGCCCAGTCTCAGTCCCCATCTCAGGGCACCTTGGGGTTGGGGCCAGCACAGCAAGCCAGAGATCAAACCCTGGTCACTGTGCAATGCTTAAGCAGGCGGTTTAGTCCGCTGAGCCATCTGGTTGGCCCTATTTTTTTTTTTTTTCAGGGGAGGTTTATTTGGGGTTTTTTTGGTGCCAAGGACCGAACCCAGGGCTTCTAGCTTGCCAGGCAACCATTCTACCACTGAGCCAACCCCCCAGCCCCTTTATACTTTTTAAATTCATTTTAATGAGGAAAAAAAAAGATAAAATAGCAATGAAACAGTTTCGAAACAGGTTAGTAGGATGGTTACTGTTTTTTTAAAAAACGAATGTGTTAAATGCCAACAATTATAATACAATTTCTTTCTTCCTTCTTTCCTTCCTTTCTTTTTCTCTTTTTTCTTTCTTTGAACCAGGAATTGCACCAGGACTTGTTCGTGCCAGGCAGGCACTTGCACAGCTGAGCTATCTTCCTAACCCTTCTTTTTTGTTGTAAAGGTAGAAATTCAGGGGAGTGTAGTGACCAAGGCCTCTAATCCCAGTATTAGAGAGTAGAAGAGGAGACTGAGGCAGAAATACATTTCAGCCCAGTTTGGGCAATTTTAGGGAGACTGTCTCAAAATAAAAAAGGGCTGGGGATGTAATTCGCCTTGAAGCCCTGGATGCAATCCCCAGGGCTGCAGAACAAACAGCAAAGCGAAAGTCCCAGGCCACTCCTAAACTCCCGCAGGCCTATCCCATTTAAGTGCAGGATTAGTGGGGCGTGGCTCAGGGTGTGTGTGTGTGTGTGTGTGTGTGTGTGTGTGTGTGTGTCTGGGAACCTAAAACCTTGGCTTTGTTCATTTCTGCACTGTTTACAATATTTCAAAATGCCAAATTATTGAAGCATGACGTTCCTGAGGAGAAGTGATTTCTATGTAGCATTTTGTACAATACTATGGGGCATACTACATATTGGCAGATAGTTACTTAAAAATCAAAAATCCTGTAAATTCCAGCTACGTTCCCTCTGCTTAAGAGGAGAAACAAGTTCCTCAAGGCAGGAGCTGGGGTCCCATGCTGACTTCCACATCCTCACTGCCACCGCACTGTAGCACATAGTAGGTGCTCAGTAAAGACACAAGGAATAAAGCAGTCAGCACCTGAACTCTACCCGTGACCTCTCTCGGCGACCCAGTCCTATAGGTGCTGCTCCCGCTCTCAAGGGCCCATCACTCTGGAATCCTTGTCCTGCGATGATGTCCCTCCTGACCCTCTCCTTTCTGATCTCATCCTGTCTCACGGTCCGAAGACTCAGCTCCGTGAATGGGAAGATCTCGGCTCGTGTGGGCACCCCGTACCTTGGTGGGGATTGGGCTCCACTGAACTCCAGCGGCGAAGACATATCTGTACGGCTTCCCATTGTGAGTGTAATTGATCCGAGGGAGCTCCAGGCCTGGAGAGAACCCGGATGAGACAGCCCCATAAGGTCGGAGAATCTCCCGTCGCGCCGGACTGGCCTCCTTCACACAGAAGCAGGTCCCGAGACCCTGACCTTGAATCTGGCCCCGGCTCAGAGCTAAGGTAGGCAAAGGCCAAGAGGGATGCCCTGACTGTGACCCTGGTTCTAGTAGAAGGTTCGAGAGCAGGGCAGCAGAGACCTGGGGTTTTCATGCATAAGCATCTTTAATTACCCAAGATAGAAATCAAAGACTTGCGTGATTAAAATCAGAGGCCACTGCAATTTTTAGCGATCTCTTTTTTAAAAAAAAGTACGTGTGTGTGCACACGTGCATCTGAGTGGGAAGAGGAGCTTTGGAGACCAGGGAGAAGAGTGTCAATGGGGACTATAAATAGAGCTCGTTCCTTCTGTTTGAATAATATGTAAAACTAATGTTTGCAAAGGATTCTAATAGCAAGTTCCAGGTGGTTCAAGGAGAGTCCCCAGAACCATGCTCAACACAGAGGAGCACAAAGACCTTCCCCAGAGAGGCCCTTGGATGGGTCTTTTCTTTTCTTTTCTTTTGATACTGGGGGTTGAATCAAGCCCCTTGCACTGAGCTACATCCCCAGCCCAATTTTTATTTTGAAATAGTATCTCACTAAATTACTAAATTGCCTACTCTGGGCTCAAATTTGCAATCCTGCCTCAGCTTCCTAGAGTGCTGGCACTTCAGGGCTGCACCACTGTGCCTGGTGTTGTTTTGTTTTTAAGGGGGTCTCCCTGTACTGCCCTTGAACTCATGGGATCTGTAGGCCCCAATGTGATGGGAAATGGGTTCGGTTTTTAGCTGTTTAGGGATCAAACTCAGGGCCTCATGCATGCTAGACAAGGGCCCTAGCCCTGGGCTACACACCCAACCTCCGCCCTGCTTGTGGGTTTTAAGCCCAGAGCCCAGCTCTGTTGGCTGCTTCGCTCGCCTGTTCCCTTTCAGGGTGGGGATGCTTGTGGCATTGAGGGGGCGGAAGCTGAGGACGCTGCTAGGGCACTCCAGTGGCCACAGGACAGCCCCCATCAAAAACTCTGGCCCCATGCAGCCCAGCCAGGTTGAAAAGCCCCATCCCCTCGGGCATGGCTCCTGCCCTTGATCTGTGCCTAGCCTGGCTCTACCTCTCTCCAGTCAGTGTCTTCTGGAAAATAGGTCTACAGCACCCATTTTTGGACACTGGGAACTGCAGAGATAGCACTAGGAACATGCGGGGCCTGCACAGTGAGTCCCAGCCCTTTGCAGATGACCCCTGTGAAAATCATCTGTTCCAAGGATCAGAGATCTTCGACGCTATCTGAAAGAGAAAGGTCTCAAAATGCTTTTCCTTGAGGATCCCAAGGGCCTTTCTTCTGTGTTCCTTGTCTTGCAGTGAGGGAGGTAGTATATAAAGATGCCTCTGGAGTAGGTATTAAAATCACCCTTCCCACATGCAGCAAGAAACATGGATTGTACCTTCAAACAGCAGCTCAGGCTGGCAGTAGACGTGGTCGTCCCTTTCCTTCAGGGCAGTTGCAGTTGTAGATGTGAGTTTGATTAGATTTGAGCCCACTTCTGCATTCTGAAAAGAATCAGTGGGGAGGGAGGTGTCACTCCGAGCAAGCCTTCACTTTAGTTTGTATATGTAAAAAAGGCTTTTAGCATACATCATCTATTTAGCTATTTAGCGTACATCATCCTGCCTGACCTCACATCAACTAGGAGAGGCAGCTATTTTATTACTTGTATTCTGGTTTTTTTGTTTTTCTTTAATGAAGATGGGTGACTTAAAGTGACTCCCCCAGGCTCGCACAGCTGGTGGACGGCAGAACCAGGACTCGTAACCCTGAGGCTCTCCGCTCCTACTCTGGGCTCCTATGTCTCTCCAAGGGAAAACGAAGGTGCTTGTAAGGCAAGTTCTCACTTTTAAAATCTGGGCTGATTCACCTGTAAAAGGCTGCATCAGTCATTAAAAGGGTGTTTTATACAGAGTTTACAATAACCGGAGAAATGCTTATGACATAACATGGAGTAAAAGCATCAGAACAAATTACATATGCTGTCTGAGCTCAACCAGACACAGAAAATTACATCAGAAAGTCAGCGGGAGAAATACACCGTCTCTTAGCAATCGCACAGGACTATGAGGAGTTTCGCTTCTTTTTCTACAGTTCCAGTATTTTCTCCTGTGAAAGATGTGTCACTGCTGAGATGCAAACAAACATGTGATAAACATTATTGGAGAGGGGGCCGGGGGAGATGGCTCAGTAGGATAAGCGCTTGACTGGCAAATGCAAGGATCTGAGTTCAATCCCCGGTTCCGCAAAAAAAAAAAAAATTATTGGAGAAAAACAAAACACCTTTCAAAGACAGCCCTTGGTCTCATGGGGCAATTTAACCTCGTTCTGCACAGTGCCTGACTCTCTTCACTATGATCCAAGAGAGGGATTTAGCACGAGAAAGCATGTAGTGAGCACTTTTTAGTCTGTGTTTCCACACGTACTCGCCACGGGACAGATTTGAGCAAGTTAAGTAGCCGGAAGAACTGGACAACGGTAGCTGCTTCTGGTGATGGTGGCGTCTTGGCTCTTACACAGCTGTTGTCTCCCCTTGTCCTCGGGGGTACATCCAGTGCATCCCCCACTGCAGATCATACTGAGCCCTACGTGTACGCACTTGCTACGGCCATAGTCCACCTGACAAGCGCAACAGCTCCTGGAGGACTGACGGGCAGGTAGCATATACAGCCTGGACACACTGACCACATCCCGGCAAGGACAAAGTAGGAAGGCTTGAAATATCATCCTGCTACTCAGAATAGCACTCCATGAAAAACTGATCCATTGTCCATGGCAGTGTTTTTCATTTCATATTTTTGGATCACAATTGATCATAGATAACTGGACTATGGAAGGCAAAACTATAGCTGAGGGGATGCTACTGCACATCTAGTCTTATTACCGTTATAGTGATAATTTCTCTTATTATACTACTGCCACTCCTGGGGGACACCAGAGAACACCGAGGAATAGCTTCTCTATGTACCAAATTTTCCAAAATGGCTTTTTAGAAAACATCTTTTATCTATTTGTTACAGGGTCTCACTATACAGCTCAAACTAGTAGTGATCCTCCTGACTCAGCCTCCCCAGCGCTGAGATTACAGGTGTGTACCATCATACCTGGTTCGGTGGTCAGCATGGCATGGGGCCAGCACAGCACACGGTACTGGGGATCAAACCTGGTTCCTTGCACTTTCCAGGCAGGTGCTTAGACCACTGAACTATCTCCTTGGCCTCAAAATGACTTGTATGATTAAAAGCAAACTATTTTAATCTGTGTGTGTGTGTGTGTGTGTGTGTGTGTGTGTGTGCATGTGTATTTAGTACAGGGTCTATAGTGTACAGGGTCTACAGGGTCTTACTACGTAGACTGGACTCGTAGTGATTCTCCTGTTTTCAGCCTCCCAAGTGCTGGGATCACAGGCCCGCACCACCACACCTAGGCTCAATCACTGTCTCAGTGCACCCTGGGGGCGGGGCCGACATGGCTTCTGGGGGTGAGGGTAGGGGGTGGGATGGAACCCCAGCCGCTGAGCTCTGCCTAAGCAGATACTTTAGTCCGCTGAGCTATGTGGCTGGCCCAACACAAACTATTTTAATCATAGCAGATTTCTTTTTGCTGAGAAGGAGGGCAAGTATACTGCTTCTTGGTGACAGAACTGCAGGGCTCCTCAGACATTTGTGTAGCTTAATCCTTCGGTTTGTGGAAGAGGAAACAGTCTCGGAGAAGAAGAGCAACTCCCCCAAAGTCACTAGAGAGAAACACAGCCTAGGTCCCGGCCTGTGCAGCAGGACTCTTCCGCCCCTTAGAGTACTGTGGGGAGAGGACGCAGCAAGTGCAAAGGCCCTGCGGCTGGCTCTCTGCTCAAACATTCCCTTCCCTGCAACTCGGTCTGCATCTGCAGTGTCTCTGAGGCATTTGTCCCAAACTGTACCTATCTCCTTCTGTCATGCTTGTCCTTTCCCGAAGGCAGGGATGAGATTTTGCTCAGTGCACGGCCCATGGTCAGGAGGTAGCTGCCAAGCAGCGAGTGAATGCATAACTCAGCGGGCATTTCCTTGTACCAGCAAGCGGCGAGTGGCCTGCCTTATGGGCCGACTGTAAGAACCGAATGAGATGAGGTGGGTGAACTACGGAGCCGGGGACCCCGCACATCCTTGGTGTCTGATAAATGTGAACGCACCAGCAGCTCGCCAGCCAGCCACGTGACAGCGCCAGGCCCCTGGGCATGTCTCAGCTTTGACTCTCAGGGAGTCTCTCTTAGAACTCCAGTCTGAAACTGGTCAGACTGGTTGAGGGATAAAATGAATTTTTCCACACGCACAGCAGTACCAGCATGACTCGGCTGCTTTCAGCTAGTGCTCCCAGCCCTCCCCGAGGGCCTGCTTGGAGACCCCCACCTTTGATGGCTGAGGATCTCTCCGGGAGCAATCTGCCCAGCCCCACGTCCGGCTTCAGGGCTCTACAACTCCCTAGGTGACCTTGAGCTGACCCTGGACAGCGCCGAGCTGCTTCCCACCTTGTGACATGGGGGAGCAGAGGACACAAGGTTGCTGGAACCTGACCCGAGTGTTAGCGTTAGGATTAAGTTAAATTACAGCTGTGAAAAGCCCTGGTTCTGGGCCAGACGCGTTGCACTAGCAACTTGGATACAGACCGCCGTGCATTTGAATTCCGACAGGCTACTTTCTCTCTCACCTACAGATACTGGGGTAGAAATAACTCAGAAGGCTGTGGTGTGAATTAGCAAAGCACAGAACAACACCTATGACATGCAGGACCCGGGCAGGAGGACACATAGACGCCGCTGACCCAGTGTGCAAACACGTTGCGCAGAAGAGGTTGCCTTCTCTCTTCTGTCTGGACACATCGACCTTCCTAATGCTGCGGCACCACAGGCTACATATTAAAATTTAATTAATTAATTTACTTTTTTACTGGCACTGGACATTCAACCCAGGATCTTCACACTGAGCTCCATTTTCTCGTGTTTTCATTGAGTCAGGGTCTCACTAAGTTATGCAGGCTGGCCTCCAACTTGCAGTCCTTCTCCTGCCTCAGCTTCCCAGAGTTATGGACCTGTAACCACCACACTATGTTTAAATTTAATTAATTTAAGTAAAGTTAAAATGTCAGCTCCTATGTTACACTGGCCACATCTCCAGGGTGAGCAGGTACAGTGTTCTAGGACACAGCGGGTTGGTCTGGATGGAGGGAGGTGGCTGAGTCTGTAATTCTGGGATCCGGGGAACTCACGGATGGACATGGTGACACGGTGAGATCCAACATCTTTGTCCTGCTCCCGCTTCTCACATCCCAGGCCCGGTCCCTAACTGATGGAAACACAGCTAGTATCCCCAGGTCCACTGCACTCAGGGGCACAGTTGGCTCTTTAGGACAGAGACAGGCATGGAGCGGCCTGGAACCCCAGGCATCCATGGTGTGGGAGGCAGGCAGGACCCTTGGCTGCTTCTTACCCATGCAGAAAGAGAAAAAACAGGTATTTCACTTGGGCCTGGCACATGGCACATGTGCACACTGCGGCTCCTCTTATTGTATCAGGCCTTCAGTTCTGCACATACAATTGACCAAGCCCAAATCTCTTGGGCTAGGAGTCCAAGCCATTGTTTCCAGGAGCACAGTGCCCCTCCCGTGACGGCCTTGTGGGCTTGCTGGTGGGGCTGGTGGTGCCTGGAGCACACCTCCAAGAGCCCTGTTGTCTGCACGCACTGTATGCCCACCTATGTACCTCCTCCAGCCGAGCCCTGCCCCAGACACTGCAGCCCCACACTCCCAGGCTGGGGTGCCCTATGCCCTGCCTTCCTCTGACCTGAGGGGGCCCCACCAGAAGTAGGACTTGGAAAGTGCCATTCGGGTGGGGCGCATGCGAAAGGCTAAAGGAAGAGGTTGTGCACTCTCAGAGATCTTGCTTCATGGTTCAACCATTCACCCTTCATTTGTTCATTCATTTATTCCCAATATCAAATTTCTTCATAAGTATCCTTCAAGCCAGGCTGACCTGCTCCCTGTGTTCTTGGAGCCTTGCACTGGCAGATGGAGGGGACTGTGCAGATTTGCCTACGTGGAACTACGTGTCTGAGAGTCCAAGGTGCAAGGCGCCACTCCTGGGGAGCAAGGAAGCTGGACCTCATGGAGAAAGAACTAGAAGGCCGTGGCTGGACATTAGGATCATGTGGAGATTGAGCCCCTCTAATTTCCTTCTTTGCTGTTGTTGTTTTTCTGAAACAAGCTCTGGGCTATGTAGCGCAGGCTACCCTCAAGCTTGAGGCAATCCTCCTGCCTCAGCCTCCTGAGTGCTGAGATTACAAATGTGCACCACCACATCTAGCTCCCCCTAGTGGTTCTGCTGCCACTATACTGCTCAGGGGCTGGTGGTCTGGTCAAGCTTGCCAGTCATTCCAATGAATAGCAGGAGGGATGATGAGCTGGGTCAGAGTAGCAGGTAGTGGGGACAGCTATGCGTAAAAGTCCCAGACAGAACGACCTCCGCACCTCTCAAGGTCACCTTAGACCAGCCGGGGCCATGCCAGTGCAGGTGGGCCTGTGTGTGACGACCTCCTGCTTGACTTTTACACTTCCCAGTGCAGGCCTCCAAAGGACTTGAAAGGACATTTTTTAAAGGGACAATAAATAGCAATTAAACAGCGTGGCCGAGCTACCCATCCCAGAGTTTGCTCTTCTTTGCACATTTCAAAGCAGCACACGGCTGCACGGCGGCTTTTAAAAACATCCGTGCTCACCTTCTAAGCCTGGTGCGAGGAAGCGAAGCACTTTCCGGAGGGATAAAAGGTTGTAAAATGCACGGTGTGTGGGCGGCAGGAGGGAGGGCTCTCCTCTCCACTTACCCTGCCTGGGTTGAGGTCGGCCTGGGATCCGCCCAGGATTTGCGACACCCGTGTCCTTCCTGGACCAGGAGACAGCGCCCCACCCCCACCCCGCCCCACCCTGATCTGCAACGTTTCCCGGGGCAGGGGCACAGGCCCAGGGGTCCGGGATGATTGGATGGGCGTGGCCTTGCCCTGGGGCCCTGGTCACGTGACTGGGCCAAGCACAGTGTCTCCGCTCCGTGCCACAGTGCATTTAATACCAAATACTTTTAAAATCTTTTTGTCTTTTATAAATGGGGTGTTAGGAGTGGACTCCAGGTCTCTCCCATGCTAGGCGAAGGTTGTACCCCGGAGCTGCCTACCGCCCTCTAAGAGACTAGGCCTGGGGCAGCCCTGGCCGACCTCCTTGGGTTTTCTTTCTGCCGTGAGCGTTCCTTGGCTGCTGTGGTTCCTGCTGTTTTCCTTCACGCCCCTTGTGAGAGAGGCACCGCAACCTGCCCGACGTGGGGAAGCGGGCGACTGCTGCTGTGGTTCCTGCTGTTCCCTTTCCCACAATTCAAGAGTGAGCTGAGTAGAACACACCAAAAAAGTTTCATACGTGTCCAGTCAAGGCAATATGAGACATGGTAGGAACCACACGCTTGGGGAAATGCTGGAGACCGGAGAGAACCCCACGCGGAAACAGACTACCTGGGGCTCCAGTCCGGCTCCCTGCTTAGCAGGCGAGAAATCAGCTCAGCTCCTACACTTCCCGGCCAGCACGGAAAGCTCCGTGTCCCTCGGCTGCAGAGCTTAGGGAAACATTCACGAGACCCACCGGCTGGGGCTCTGTCCAGGGTTTGATTTAGGGAGAGAGCAGAGTTCCGACCCCGTGGGAAGGGCCCGCTGCTGTGTGACCTCCGGCACCTCCCCTCCCCTCCCCTCTCGGAGCCTTGGATTTGTAACCAAGAAGGGAACATGGGGACCTCTCCCCCACGGGTGACGTCAGGAGGGTAGAATGTTGGGCGAAGCATCTGGCACGCAGTGCGCATTTACTAAATGTGAGCCATCAAAATGTAATTAAATCAAGTGGGCTTCATTTAAGTTAATGAAGTCATGAAGTCAGTGAGTCCCTGAGCCAGAAACCTCTCTCCTGCCTCTCTGAACCCAGAGCCAGGACAGAGTCACCTAATTAAAGATGAGTCCCAGCCTGGGGCTCCTGGGTGGCAGAGCAACAGAACTGCTGGACATCAGGGAACAGGGTTGGCAGATGGCGACAATCCCTGCCAGAGATTGGGCGAGAGTTCAAAATGACGCTGTCAAGCAATATTTAATGCCAGGGAGAGATGCTTCGCTATGTAACAGGTGGAAAAAAGCAGTAGGTAAAAGTTAGAAAAACTGCTGGGCACAAGAAGCTGGCTGCAGAGACTGTCCCCTACTGGGTCCCACTGACATTGTTGAGGCAGGTGCTAGGGAGGGACAGCAGATAGCAGTGGGACTGGGGGAGGGCCCCAAGGAGGTGGTGGCCGAAGGGTCTGAGGGTTCTTCTTGGGGTGACGGAAAAGGTCTACAAGTGATTGTTGGTGGTGGACGCAAATCTCTAGGACTGCATCAAAAGCCACGGAATGAAGCGCTTTGGACGGGAGCGTTGTGTGGCATGTGAATGGAGTCTTGGCACAGCTGCTAGAATTACTCAAGATCACAATTCAGAGACAGACACAGAGGAGGGCAGTGCAAACATCTGCACAACGATTGCTGCGGGGCTTTGTCCTTTCTGTGAGACAGGGTCTCACTGCGCAGTGCAGGCTGGCCTCGAGCTCTCCCTGCAGCCCAGGCTGGTCTGGAACTCACAGTGATCCTCCTGCCTCAGCCTCCCAAGTATTCGGGTCACAGGCGTGCACCACCCCACCTGGTGATGATTTCCCTTTTAATTTACCTGTACTTAAAAAATTTTTTTTGAGACATGTTCTTTCCATGTAGGTCAGGTTAGCTTTGAACTCACTATGTAGCCCAGGTTGGCTTCAAACTGGCAGGGATCTCCCTGCCTCAGCCTTGCAAATTTTGGGATTATGTGCACCACCATGGGCAACTCAGTTTACCAATACTTTCTAAAGTTTCTGCATGAAAATAGATCATGAAAGACATTTTTTGTCTCTCTTTACAATTGGTTCACTCTGGATTTTGGGGCCAACCACTGAACTGGCCACCCTCGGAGGCCCTTACCTTGTCCACGTGGAGCGGCACAGCGAATCTCTGGAGGGTGGGCACCGATGTGAGCCTGGAGTTCTCCTCGAAGTCCTGGTTCAGGTTAGCCAGGTAGAAGAGGTCGTAGAGGCTGCTGTCCTTGTAAGCGATGACGTCAAACACAATACAGCCGTCTTCCTCATAGGCATTGACATGGTGGAAGACCACCATGGCATCCGTGTAGAACTTGGTGGGTACCGGCCTTCTGGTCCTCTGGTCGATGATGTGAATGTGAGTCTGAAAGAAGAAGCCGCTGGATAGTCAGCTTTCCCTCTGTCCTGTGCAGTGGCATGCGGGGACACTAGCTTGAGACCATATGGTATCTCGGTCCCCTCAAAAAACAGCAGGACAGGCAAAGTGCTTGGCCTGTTGTTGGGATTTTATCTTTAACACACCTATAATCGCAGCACTCAGAAGGCTGAGCTAAGAGGGTCCCTGTGAATCTGAACCTAGTGAGCTCGAGGCCAGCCTGAATTACATAGTGAGACGCTGTTTCAAAAGCCAAAGCACAAAGATAAAATGAAAGAAAATGCCTGGAAAGAAGTTTGCTCCCAGGACCTTGAGGGACTCTGAGGGGACTCTTGCCCTGATCCCACTGATTGTGACTTAGGTGGGCAGTGACATGCTGACTTCTGGCAATGACCAAGGTGGGGAGAACCTGCCAAGTAGAGACTCCATGGGAGACCAGAGCCCCTAAACCCCTGCCCTTGGGGCCCCTCCCCACCCCCACTGCATGGTACATCTAGTCTTCTGCTCTTGTCACAGCACCTCCCCGTCCTGGCTGGTGGCCGTAGGTGACCCCAGCTCTAGCCAGGTACCGTGTCAGCTCATGAGATCTCCAGTTGTGTGCCTCTGAGTGTCACCGACTGGTGTCACTCAGGGTGGTAGTGAGCCTGAGCTGCACCCCAGTTGTCCAGTCCTAAGGAGTTGCTCCTCCTTGGGGCAGCGCACACCCGAGCTGCCTCCTTGAGGGAGGGAAGGAGACAGAAAGGGAGGAAGGGAAGGAGGGAGGGGCCTGGCTCCTCTAGTCCAGTGGCCCTGCTTCCTTAGAACCAAGCGGCAGTCTTGGGAGTTTCCCAGGGGAAGGGTGTTGATAGCACAGGGCTCAGCGCAGCCCAGGGAGGAGGGAGTGATGGGGGTTTTCTTCTCTCTCTCATTTAATATAGGTTCTCTAGGGTCTCGCTATGTAGATCGGATTTGTAGTGATTCTCCTGTTTTCAGCCCCCAAGTGCTGGGATTACAGGTGTGCACCACCACGCCCAATCTCAATCACCATTTTAGTGTGCTTCAGATTCATAGGGACCCACTTACCTCAGCCTCCTGAGTGCTGGGATTATAGGTATGTTAAAGATAAAATCCCAACAACAAACTAACCACTAGCCACTGCACGGTCCCTAAGCAGGCACTTTAGTCTGCTGAGCTCTCTGACCGGCCCTCAGAGCTCTCTTCTAGACACACACTGAGCCTTCCGGGGCTGTCACCATGCCCCTTCCACACTCACTGGTCCCTTTCAGGGATTCTCTGAGCATTGGGGATTCTTGAGGAGCACAGATGAGAGGCCTGGGGACCCCCAAACTCCCACCAGAGAGAGCCCCTGAGTTCATCCAGGGAGCTGACTTAGGATGCAGTCAATGCCAGCGGGCTTCCAGTCCTGCTCAGCTCACTGCACATACACAGGAAGGGCTGTTGCACACAGGGCGAGGGAGACTGTTCCCCTGACGTGTGTGCTCGTGGGGGTGAAGCCCACCATAAAAATTGTATCTACTATATGTTAGGGGGCTGGGGGCTCCTGGGAAAAGAGAAGCAGGGTGAGCTATGGGTATGGGGGGTTCCTGATAGGCACCAAGGAAGGCCAGGGAGACCCAGACCAAAGGAGAAAGAAAGCCAACCCACTGCTGAGGGCAGGAAATGCAGAGGCCCCGAGGCAGAGACCCCTCTGGCTGGTTCAATCTGGGATGTATGGAGTCAGCTGGATAAGAGCGGTTAGGACAAGGCTGTGGGGAGACAGCGGCAGTGTGTGTGGCCTTCATCACACTCAAAAGACGATGGGACGGTTCTGAGCATGGAGGGCTCTCAACAAGCCCCCTCACTCCCCGAGAGAGAACAGGAACCGCCTTCATGAGGTTCAGCGCAGGCATGCTCAGGAAGGACGTGGACAGTTGCCCTGGGCGCTATTAGAGTAGGTGCCCCTGAGAATTTCTTGCTGTTTTCCAAAGGTAAAGTAGCAACCGCAAGTGCGCAGCGTGTACGTGTGTGGTATGGTCAGAAGGCATGGCAAATGCTGAAATTTTCAAAATTTATCACAGTTGGACAAATCGCCATGTATCCCCCTCAGAACGCTCCCCGTCACTGCTAGCTTGATGCGCACTCATTCCGTCATTTGTGTCACTTTCTGAAGCAGTTCTGTAGGTACTTATTTTTTTTTCCCCCGGGGGGAACAAGGAAGGAAACCAAGACCTTGTGCTTGCTTGCCAGGCAAGCACCTCTTCCACTGAGCCATCTCTTCAGCCCCTCTGAAGCCGTTCTGGAAGTTCTCTTTCTCAAGGATCTTTTCAAGGTGTGGCCAAGAATATGGTGAAGCCGCTGCCAAGTGCCAGCCAGTGGGCAGCCGGCAGCACCCAAACATGCTGGCGTGGCCTCATCCCCCTCGCTTATGGGATCTGGGGCTGGGGGACTCCTAGCTCTTCCCCACAGCCAAGATGACCAAGACAGGGAAGCACTCTGAATGGACTGAGACACTGAGGTGGCCATGACAGCACAACGGCAGATGAGAGAGAACTCGCAGGCCTGCTTCAGAAGGAGGCAGGAATGGTGGGATGAGTGTGGTTGAATTGAGGGGGAATGTTTTGGGGGAGGTTAATGGTAATGTGTCTCTTTTTGTAATACAGTTTAAAATTTTTAACCGTTCAAGGTAATTTTCCATAGTGTTTTGTATGCCCATGTACACAGTACAGATTCGCATATGCACATAATGCATACACAGATACATATACCTTGAACACTTGGAGGTGCCTCAAGCAAAAGGCCTGTTTCTACTCTTTGTCATCATGAGTCTCAGGTACCCCCAGCACCCCACTGTGGCAGAGATGTCAGTGGATGGTGCTGGCCTTGAGGGACCCAGGCGCCCCTCAGGGTGAAGACTGGTTCCCTTTGCTTCTGGGCCAGTGGGGACTGCTTGGGGCACTTGGCTGCTCGAGGTCCCACCCTGCTCCCAGAACAGGCTGTATCCAATGACTTACTGAAGTGAGGGTCTAAAGGCCTGGCCCTGGTCTTAACTTGGGAACTCTCTAATGGACCACTGAAGCTGCAGAACTCTCTGGAAGGTTGGTGGCTGTGCCTGGAGGGACTGTGACTCCGCACTCTTTCCTCCCATGCATGTTCCTTCCCTAAGCAAATCTGCCTGTCAGCTGCTCCTGGGGCAGGGCTGGCATCCCAGGCAGCCTTACCTTGTCCTCCCTGTGGAAAGCCATGCAGGAGGCCCAGCTCACCCCCCGCATGTACGCGGTTGCCATCTTGAGGATGTCCAACCTGAACGGCTGCTCCAGAAACACGACGTAGTTCTCGGTGACCCCAAAGCTGTGGTAGTAGCTGGGGGAGAGGAGTGAGTGGGAGGGGATGGAGCAGAACACCTCTGTGTGCCTCAGGGGGCTCTTCCCCTTCCTCTTGGCCTCTGGAGGAAAGACGTAGACTCAGAATCATGCACAAATTGGAGGCCCGAAAGCCACCGTTACCACCTACACGCCTGCCGCAACACTAAGATGAAAATTGGAGAAGGAGCTGGAAGGCAGCCAGATACGGGGGCCCAGAGCTTCCTGCTCAGGCCACCCCATGGCTAGCTGAGTTCTCCAGGGTGGGAACCACTGCTGTAGGCCAAGGGTCCCCATCAGCAGTCAGGGATGCAGTGAGGCCTCCACCTGTTCTTGCAGAAAAAGTCTTCTCTGGAACAAGGCCTGCCCTCACTCCTCTGCGCATCCTTTGGTGCTGCTTTTGCACTTGTCAGAAGACCCCCCATGCACACGTGCATGTGCGCACGCGCACACACACACACACACACACACCCCTCAAACATGCTTATGCCATCAAACTTGCAATATTCTGATGCAGCTCTGGAAGTTCTCTTGCACAAGTATCTTTTGTAGTGCCGTCCTGGCTGCCTCAATGTCCAGAATACTTTCAAAATGTTTCCCTTTAACAGTCATTTTGGCTTCTGAGGAAGAGCCAGAAGTCAAATGGTGCCAGATGCAGGGAATACAGCAGAGGAGGACAGACTGTTGTGTTCTCGTGAGCCTGCCTTTCCCTTGGGCGGCACTTGAGAGCAGCACTTGCTGTAGTTTTTGTTACACTTTGTGAAGAGGCTCGCAAGCGAGGACTCACAGAGCTGCTTCCTACAGTGGCAAGAATGGCGGCGTAAGCATGCTCCAGCTGGGAGCCGCTCAACTGCAGTGTCTTTCACTGAAATACATTTTAAAATTTACACTTTTGGCGCATATTCACAGTACCCCTTGGATTCTGTGGCAGTTGAGCTCAGCTGCAGAGCGTCCGTTTCACAGGTGGAAGCTGACACTTGGCGGAAGCTCTCTCGCCTTGGTCAAAGTCCAGGGTTAAGCCAAGAAGGCGGGGCCCCTTAGTCCTGGGTGGGTTCCTGCTCTGTGACTAAGCCACCTGACCCTCAGAGAGTGCACATGGAGAAGACGATGAAGCACCACACTAGTGGGGCATAAGGCCTGCTCCCCCTGCCCTGACAGTACACTAAGCACCTGAGGTGGTGCCCGGCACCAGGAAGATCCCGGCACTGATGGCTTTCCCTTCCTCTGTGAGGGTGAGTCAGCCCTGGCCGAAGGCCTCCCTGCCCAGACCTGGGGCGGGTTCTTAATGAGTTCCCTGCAAGTGTCCCCACCTCTGTGGCCACCTGTTCAGGGTGTAGGGTGGGAGGGATGCTGCATAGCTGTGGGCTGGTTCTCGCTTCACACAGAAGGTAGAGTTCAATGCAGAGAGATGAAGGGTGCCCTGGCCTGGGAGGCACTTGATGGGGACTGAAGCCCAGAGCCCTAGTTCTGGGCAGCACTCAGAGAGTGGCCGCTCGTGTGACCTTAGAGGACCTTGGAAGCAATGTGATGGCAGGCACATCACATGATCCCCTGAGCCTCAGCCCTCCTCCGGAATAGGCGGTGACAAACACAAATGCCTAGAAGATCCCCCACATGACATTCTGGGATTCTGGGCTTGACATTGTCTGCATGGTTGGCCTTGTTAATGAGAGTTTCACTTAACAAGCACACTTCTGTCAGGTTCCTTCTGACCTCGGGGGCTGTGGCTCCCAGCACAGCCTGGCAATCCACTCAGAAGTTTCTACAGAACTGTGGGCTGCAGGGACCAGCAGGATCACAGGTAGAAACTGGTTCTTCTAAGCCAGACAGGTGAGGCACCTCCGCATCCTGCACAGCTGCCCTCAGAGGCCCGGTCTCCTAGGTGTGGCTCCCAGGAGGGTCCTGGACAAACATGGGCCGGGAGCCTCGCCCTCATCCCCCTCAGGAGCATGCAATCATCTGGCCTGGGCTTTGCTCCAGGATCCAGCCCTAGGTGGAGAAGATCCAGAAGGCCCGCAGAACAGGGTGGGGACCTGGAGCAGAGCCCAGCAGGGCTGAGCCCATAAACAACCCCAAGAGCCTGGCTACAGGGCTGGGAGAAGATGGGTGGCGGAGCACTGACATACAAATACTTGCAGAAGACTTGAAAAATGGATGGACAATAGATAAATTAATGAAATAGTGTACTAGAGCCTAGGGGAAAAAAAGGTTAGAAATGGATAGGTAAATGAATAGGTATATGGATGGGTGGCAGATGGATGGATGGTAGGTGGGGGGATGGAGGGGTGAGCAGATAGATGAACAGACGAGTGGATGGATGAATGTATGGGTAGATAGATAGGTAGATGGATGGGTGGATGGTGAATGGATAGATGATAGATAGTGGATGATGGATGGATGGATGGTGGTGGGAGGATGGAGGGGTGAGCGGATAGATGGACAGATGAGTGGATGGGTGAATGTACAGGTAGGTAGATAGGTGGATGGACGGATGGGTGGATGCATGGATGGATGGATGGTAGGTGAAAGGATAGATAGTGGATGATGGATGGATGGACGGAAGGACAGCTAGATGGGTAGGTAGATGTGTGAATGGATAGATATTGGGTAGGTGGATGGATAGGTGGATGGGTGGATAGTAGACGGGTAGATGGATAGATAGATAAATAATGAATTACTGATGTGGAGTATAAAGAAAAAGTGGGTTCTTCATTAAAATAACGAAGAACACCTCCTTATCTAAAGAGAATCCCAGAAACTCCCCTTCCTCCTAAAGAAAAAACTGAGTCTTTTGCCATCTGAATGAATGATCAATAGGGCAAAGTATCACAATGATTGCTGTGCCACCAGCAAAACCCAGACCTCTTCAACAACAGCCACTTAGGGTGTTCGCTCCCCTGGACTCTCAGGGATGACGTACCTGGTGCTCTGGCAGGGATTTTAAATATCACATATTTTGTCCTGCCCTTGTCTACAATGGATGTACCCATGTTGAGAACATTTCCAGCCGCATCATAATGAGGATGTGCTGTTGCCAGATTTATCGCCACGTATTTCCGGTAATCCACCTGCAAAACACGACAGCCATGGCCTTTATAAAGGGGAGAGGCAAAGTCCCACAAAGACCTGACTGATTCTAGGTTCAGAGACAAGGTGAGTACTTTTGCACATCTGATTGGAAAACGAGTTTGCATTTAGAGAGGATGTGCAGTCTCACCTGCCTGAGCCTGGTATCTGGCCGGGCTCCTGAGGCTCAGGAGAGGGCATGGCTCTGATTCCTGTTCTGCAGCCTGACCCTGCTGAGACCCTCACCACCACAGGCTCCTAGCACTGACCTGGGCAGAGAGCTCGTAGCCTTCCAGCTAACCCTGGCCACCTCTTGGGGGAGTTATTTAAAGTCACCCCATTTACAATCCACAGAGGCATAGTGGTCCAGGCCTGTCCCCAGGCAGTACTCTGGGAGTGGAGGTCCCCAGATCATTTAGGCAAGGTGATTCTCCACTAACAATCTGAGTAGCAGGGTGAGCAGAGGCCAGCTGTCCACTTTGCCCACCACCAGACAGCACGACTTCCAGCCAGGAGTCAGGTCTGGCTCTGCAGGCTCCAGGGCTTCCTCTCCTGTGGGAAGCACACATCGGTTGGACCTATGCTGAGAGGGAGTAAGACATAATTTTTCAGCTAAGAAAAGCAGATCTTTAATAGATTGTTAAAAGGCCTTGTGAGGACACTGGGGCTCCGAGAAGCCAGTCGGAGGAAACTGAAACCAGATCTATTGATTTCCACGGAAGGGTTGACCTGATTCTGCCCAGGGAAGGCACCTGCTAGGACACTTGTTTTGTCCTTTCTCTCTGCCTCAGGCCTTCCTCTGCTGCTGGAGGCAGGCAGGGCTACTGGCATCTAGCCCTCCTGAGCTCCCTGGGCACCAAACGCTAATCATGGTTCTGAGTTGAACTGTGCCTACCGAGAAGACATGTTGAAGCCCTAACCCTGGGTACCTGTGAGGTGACCTTACTGGATTGGGCAGCGGGGTGTTTGCAGCTGGGAGTAGAGATGAGGTCACAGCACACTGGGGTGCCCCAATGACCCGTGTGTTTAGGAAGGGTGCGCAAGGTGAACACAAGGACCCATAAGAAGAACACCAGATGTCACCAGGTGGGGAACACCAAGCATGCCTGTCCACCACTAGGAACTTAAAGATGCAGGCAACCTCCTCAGGGTCTCCAAAGAAAGCCTGGCCTTGCAAGCAGCTTGATTGTAGACCTCTGGCTTCTAAAGTTGTGACAGAATAGATTTCTCTTTTTCCAGCACTGGGCATTGAAACCAAGAACCTTTTACCGAGCTACAGCTCAGCCCTGGTTGATTTTTTATTTTGAGACAGTCTTGCAAATTTGTTCAGTCTAATGTCCAACTTGAGATCCTCCTGCCTCTGCCTCCCAGAGAGCTGAGACTGGGGGTGTGCACCACCACACTTGACTAAAAGAACAACCATATTAAGACATCTAATATGTGGCACGGTCACGCATCCCTCAGGGATAGGGACCCCTAGCGAGCCCTTGCACAAACTGTGATGGATCTTGTGTCCCTGGACAGTATCTCGGGGACTGTGGTTCACGGGTTCAGATTTTGAGGGAAAGTGGTTACATGGTACATGGCTACACTTGGTGTCGACAGACACAGGACCCCAGGACAGCCACAGAGTGGGAACTGTGCAACCCCCGCCAGCACGGAGCTTAGAGCTGAGGACCAAGTGCAGCTGGGGCAGCCCAGGGTGATGGCGCAGGGACAGCCCCTCCCGGGAGCTCCTCGGCAGGAGCAGCAGATGCTGAGCGAGGCGCCGTACCTTCTCCAGGGTCTCCAGCGTCTGAGGGTTGATCCTCCTCATGTAATTGGTCTCTGTGGTCGCGTAGAAGTCTTTCCCGCACCTCATGATGTTGATCAGGCAGTTGTCTGTGAAGTCGGGGATGGTGTGGGACAGGTAGGAGAAAGCTCTGGAGAGGACAGCAAACCAACAGAGGCAGCAGCCGTGACTGCCTAGCCGGGAAGGGCTGCCCAAGATGGCTTTAGTTTGTCTGGGGCTTAAAACTCCTGATTCCTCCATGGGAGACAAAGTCCTGCGTCTTGGTGAGTCACTTGAAGAATCCAAGGGCTCAGATATCAGGCTCCCCAAAGGTGCCACCTTGTGGTGTCAGCCTAGAAGTGGGTCGTGGGCACAGCATGGCTGCCAGCTGAGAAATCAGATCTGTACCCATAATCCTCCACAGCCTAGCAAAGCAGTCAGGCCCTGCTTTGGCCGGAGTGCGAATCTACAATTGGTTATCTCCAGATTGTCTAGGAAAATAGCTTAAAAAAGGGAACAGCTAGGTGTGGTGGCACATGCCTGTAATCCCAGCACTCTGAGAGGCTGAGGCAGGAGGGCCACAAGTTTGAGCCCAGCCTGGGAAACTTAGCAACTTAACAAGTTTCTGTTTCAAAATAGAAAATAAAAAATAGGTTGAGGATGTAGCTCAGTACAGAGGCACTCGTTTCAATCCGAAGGAGGAGGAGGAGGAGGAGG